CCAATATCTATGTCACCACTTCTCTGCATTAATTTCGCTTGTTCATATTCCCAGGTATGACTTCTACTTTTCTAGTTGGACCTTGGTTGATACAACAGGCTATTTTTTCTTCATGATTTGTAAAAACTCTTGGCATATTAAGGAATATAGTCAATTATGATGTATGTTGCAGTGATTTTTATTAGTTTGCTTTTGGCCTTTGTTTATGTTTGTTCTTGTTCAGAAAATCTTTAAGTTTTACATACTCAAATTTATCAATATTTGCCTTATGTTTTCTGGATTTCATTGTATATACAGACCTTCATCCCAAGATTAAAAAAATAGTCAGTTATATTTTCTTCCCATAATTTCATGGTTTTATGTTTGACATTCATCTGGAAGTTATTTTGGAGTAAGAAGTGAGGTGGCCATATAATTTAAATGGGTTTCCCAAATGAAAAATGGTATTTAGCCAGTTCTGTCAATATCATGCACTGGAGAGCTCTTCCTTTCTCTTTTGACATGAAATGCCAATTTATTAAGTATTATATTCACATATATACTGGTTCTATTTCTGGATTTTTCCCCACTGGCTTATCAGTCAAAAATATTTTATTAGGCTAAAGCTATCATTCAGTTTTATGCACTTGTCCACAAAAATATCTCTATGTTTGAAGCAAGTAAATTTTAGAAGTCAAAATACTGTAAAGGAAAGGTGGAATTCTTATCTGTCTGAGAAATCAGGTATTGATTCAGAAGGAAACATCAATACTGATTTTTTTTAAAGTCAAGGCTTCCTGAAAATTTTTCATTTTGATAAAAAAATTTTAATGTCTGATTTCAAGGATAAGTCATATTCTGTTGAGTTTTGCTTGAATTAAAACATCAGTTTGAACTAACTTTGTGTTCAACCTCTTTGTTCTTTCTTTCTTTTTTAATATTTTTGGGGATACTGGGGATTGAACCCAGGGGCACTCCACCACTGATCTACATCCCCAACTACTTTTATATTTTTATTTTGAGACAGGTTCTCACTAAGTATTTGAGTCTGGCCTTCAACTTGCAGTCTTTCTGCCTCTGCCTCCTGAGTTGCTGGGCTTATAGGTCTATGCTGCTGCACCCACCTGGGTATTCCTTTTTTAATAGCATCCTGTTCTTGTTTCATGGATACATTATTTTCTGTTTTCTTCCTGGGAATTAACTATAGGATAATTCTTTTTTCTCTCCTCTCTGTGTCTCTGTTTTCTCTGAGTTCATTTGTTTTAGTTACTATCTTTGAGAGACTTTTGAGATTCTATCAATGAGAGACTTTTCTCAGTCACATTATTTTGGGTTATTTGTTTTTAATTAAAAGTGATACATCAAAAAACTGATAGGAAGTGTGTGTGTGTGTGTGTGTGTGTGTGTGTGTAAGAGAGAGAGAGAAAGAGAAGAAGAAAAAGGGAGAAAGGGTGAGAGAAAGGGAAAAAGTGAATAAATGAATGAATGCAGGTAAGGCTATTGATTGAAAGATTTTAAAGTTGGATAACTAGGTAGAAATCCCACTGTTTATTTAGGTGACCTTCAAGCATTAACTTCTCTAGACTTTTCCTTTGGGCAAGTTTCTTTTAAGAAGAAATATCTAGTCTCCCACATAGTGGGTTTATATCTGGTTACCTGCATCTTAGGAGTTAAGCTAGGAAAGGAAGCAGGAACTTGGGAGTGGCACTTGCACACAGGAATACTACAAAATGGGAAGATTGGCAGGTGTGTGTGTGTGTGTGTGTGTGTGTGTGTGTGTGTGTGTTGATATTAGATATTACAAAAATGCATTAAAATACTACCAAGCAGAAAATCTAGGGCAGAGTCAGTAAGTTTTTTAAGTAAGAGCCTCTGGATACATGAGGTACCACTGTATTTATAACTACTACTATGGGTGTGTGTTTGAAGAACAGACACAGTATGTACTCTTTGRTACATCCTTCTCTGCTCAGCCATCTTTGGTTACTGTGTGCAACCACTTTATATGCTGAAAGAGTGTACTGTATAGAACTCAGCTGGAAGAAGTGGTGGTGGGGTTTGGAGGTGGAGGATGGAGTCCTTTGGGAAACAATTCTATTTATAGGAATCGTGGTCTGTTTCTCTACAACCTAAAGGATTATGTGCTGATGAGGATAATTTCATGACCAATTTGGCTTCTATAAAGATCTTCATTGTTCCTTTCTCATTGAGGATCATAAGTATAGAAACACTTTGCCTGGGAATGTTTTTATTCTTTAAGAAGATTCTATTTTAAATATGAAATGTACTTGCTTTAGATCCRTGCTTCTGAATTTCCAAAGGAAGTTCTTTTTATAAATTAGCTGAATTCTCTGTGGGCTTGTGTTTATCAAGTCCTGTTTGCAAAGTATCTTGCAGTGGCATAAACATCACTTTAAAGCAGGAAGTTAGCTTTTAATCATTAGTTTAGAGTCAAGAGCTTCAGAAAATGAAAATGCTCCAGCTGGAAGAAAATTTGACGTAAGTCACAACAGGAAGTTAGGTGACTCTGGCTTTGCCTCTCCACTCAGAGCTTTTGGGCATGTACATTCATTTGTGCCTCTTAAATGCCTACTTTGGGCATGGCCTCATGTAACACTYTCGTGTACGTCAATCAAATGAACTCCTCAGTCAAAGTGCAAAGACTCTGTTAATATATAAACTTCCATGTGCAAAGAAAGGAAAGAGGCTTTATTTTCACAGCTATAAAACTGTGTGAATAAACCACCATTCATTTACTCATTCTGCTGGGGAGAGACCATACTTGGGTAGTTTCTATTTTTTTCTATTCCAAACAATGTTGCAACGAATAATCTTGTACACATCCAAGAATTTCACCAATACAGCGGTTCTAGAAGTGTGAACCGGAGGCCCAGGATCCCCGGAGGCCCAGGATCCCCGGATCCCTTTCAGGTAGTCCATGAAGTTTCACCATTTTCTCTCTCCTTCTGTCAAGTATATGCTGTGGTATTTTCCAGAGGCTGACTGACACACCCACAATGATCTGAAAAAGGGTATTAAAATACTCCTACCTCTTCTAATTATATGTGTGTTAAACTGGATTTTCCTTACCTACTTCAACCAAAACAATGTATCACAACATTTGAAAGCAAATAAGAGATTCCAGTTGTCTTCTCCTAAGCCAGACATTAAAGAGATTTGAAAAATGTTCAAAGCCACTGATCTCCCTAAATTTAGAAATTGAATCATTTTTCAAAAAAATGAATTTATTTTAAAATGGATTAATATACAAATGTTTAAAAAAAATTCCAGCTTTAATTTCTAATGTATTAAATATTGATAGATATAATAAATGAAATTTTAGGAGGCTGTTGGTTTGGACTGAGCTCCTGTACTATGCCCAAGAAGAACCAAAGGAAAATGGAGTCACTCATGCTAAAATTTATATCACCAAGCCAAAACTAAGGCGTTTGTCTGACCTTCTGAGAAAGAAGTGCCAAATCCCCAAACAGACCAATTTTAGGCAGCAGTTTAAGGAAGTCCCCTCTGTTTTAACTTTCACCAGGAAGGTAACTTTGAATGGACCAATCCAATTTTTGTTTTTCTTTCTGCTTTCTTCAGCCCTTTTCTGTCTATAAAGCCAATCTTCTCTGTTCAGCTCATCAGGGCAATGAAAATCAAAAGGAGATCAGTATAGAAGGAAGGGAACAAGGGGAGGGAAGAGGGGAGGGAAAAGGGAAATACTGGAATGGTATTATTCTATTGTTATATTGTGTGCATGTATGAATCCCACCATTATGTACAGCTATAATGTATGAATAAAAATATGGAAAAAAGACAAAACTGATAAAAATAAATAAATGTTGGATTGATGAATCAGATAAAAATTAAGATCTTTAAATTAAATTTGTTGTAATTTTGACAACAAAATTTGACTAATATAACCCATGTAAACATAAATTGTTTGGGATCTTTGATAATTTTTCAGAGTAGGAAAGAGTCCTGAAATCAAAATATTTGAGAAGCATGCCCTAGGGTACAGACCCAGGGGTGGAATTGCTAAGCTATGGGGTGGATGCATGGTCAGCTTTAGGTGATAAAACCACTGATGGTTAAGTTCAGTTTGATATCATTTACATAGAGCCACCTATAATACACAACTAAGCTAAGTACTTGTCACTTAATTGTTGAAAGGAATTAAAGAGAATTGAACAGAATCAAAACCCAACTGTTTTATAGTCCTATAAAACAACCCAGCAGATAAGGGCCATTGGCATCTTTAAACACAGCCCAGCCAAACCCTCAGTTTTCCCATGGCTGAGAGGAGGAGGGCACCGTGCCAGGGTCCATTCTGGTAGGCTGGGGTGTTTCCCTTTCAACTTTTTGCCCTGTGGGTCCATGCTGGTTTCTCACTCACTGCATGTGGTAAACAACTGGCTTTGAGTCAAGTCAAGAGTGTGAGTCTCTGAGGAGAGCCTGCCCCCACCACTCAGCCTGAGAATGAATGAGCATAAGTGGAGGAAGGGAAAAGAGGTAGGAGGGAGGGGAGCTCCCTCTATGGCTCCCCAGGAAGGAAAAACAAAACAAAACCCTATACTAATGATGTGAAATGAGCTGTGTGACTTGTGACACATAAGTCAGGATCTTGTCTTTGCAGAATAGGCCCCTGCTCTGAAAATAGCTGAGAACAGTCAAACCCAGAGAGGTGCCTCTGGGCATTCTAGGGGTGCAGCCTGACCTTGTACCTGGGATAAGAAGGGAAAGGAAAGGGCAGGAAGAAAGAGGAAAACCTAGCACTGTGTTAGATTATGCAGTTAGTTCTCATGACAAATCTGTAGCATAGATATTATTCCCATTTTACAGAAGGGTAAATTGAGGCCCAGAAGGATTAGGCAGCATAATTCAAGGGACATGACCTTTGGAGTCAGTTCTAAGTTCTAATATCACAGATATCATCCCCTATTACAAACACTATCCCCTAATGTCCGCATAACTGTGGGTAACACGTGTCCTAATTGGATATATTTGTTTCCACCTTACAGAAATTAAATCCAGTCAAAGAAAATGAAGCATGGAACGCACAACTCTGACACAACAGGAAGCGGATATTCACTGAACATGACTCCTCTTGCTCCTTGCCTAAAATTAAGCATCCGGGCAAGGTGACCAGGCCAAACCCCAAGTCATCTGGTAATCATACAGCTCAACCTTGTCCTCCTAGGGATGAAGTGAGTAGGATTCTAGTGCCTCCTACTGTCATTCATGGGGTTGAGTTTCTGCCTCTCCTTTGCCACTTGTGGACAGCTCAGCAGGGGACCAACTGGGTTAGGTGGGAAAGGAGGAGAAAATCATTTGCCTCTACATTCCTTGTCTCCTTTGCAAATAACAAGGTGCTACTTTGAATGGATCTGATTCCTGGGTTAATTTTTCAATTGGTTAAAACTCTGGGAAGAGTAATGTGATTTCCACTCATACTCAGTGGACTGGAAGCCTTTTGAAAACAGAAATTGTTTCTTATTCTCAGTAAATAGAAAAAGTATATAGTATTTAACATGGATAAACAAGGCAGTGACTGTGAGAAACCCACAGAGCAACCAGCTAAAAGGGAAAGACCCCAACCTACCAGAAGGGGCTCAGTATTTCTCCCTTTTCTTCTCAGSCCCTGGAGAACTCTGGGTCTAGCTGGGCTGCCATTGAGGGGCTGATGCCTCTTATCTGCAAGGCTGCTTAGCACCTGCCCATTCAACCAGACTTGATTCAATTCAATTAGACTTAATTTCTTTCAACAACCAAGTTTTCAGAGGCTAGGCTGAGCAACTGTGTTCAAACTGCTAAAGCCCAGCTCCCCAGARAACCTTGGAGTGACATGATTCCAGAAAGAGAGCCTAATGAATAGGTATTTTAACTGGGACAAGAGATGGGAGGAGTCAGAACTGCAGCCAAGTTTTGTCATAATTGAGGGGTTGAGTTTCTGCCTCTCATGCCGAGACCTCAGAGCTTTACCAGGGAGAGGGAGAATTCACATCTCACCCCAAACAGGCCAGGCCACCTAGAGCTGCTCCTCCAAGGTGCTCAGACACAGGTGTACTTATGCTGCTGTGGAGCTGAAACAGGAAAATTAAGGGGGGGGGGAAGCAAATCAAGGCAGGAAAAGAAAACAGTTAAAGCTGTTCCCTTAAGCCTTCTCTGTACTGAAAATTTCTAATTTTGATATTTTAGTTACTTTTTAAAACATACTCATCTATTTTCAGATCATAAGACAGTAGGGAAGAGAAAAAGGTATCAAGGAGTGCTGGTAAAAATAAAACGTTATGTAAATTGCAGGAGAAACTCTACATGTCAACTGGACCTTGTAAAGAGAGAGACAACCAGATGAAGAGAAAAGCTCCAGCAGAATTGAAGAATGTTTACATTCTTGCAACCACAAATGTGAAATGAGCTCAAAACCCAGTGGGAGTTTAACAAAATACTTAAGTTCAAAGTGAGGCCGCTCTGTGCATATTCCCCTCCTGGTTGCCCTGGCAATGAAACATCTGCCTTATAGTAATGAAATATTACTGAGAAAAACCCACAAGCAAAAGAGAGTTTCTGGACATATAAGCTTGTTATTCCTCCCACTGACATTGGTCTTATGAGTGTAGGAATCAAATAAAGTAGCTGCCTCTGCCTGTGATCATCCCTGTGTCACTCCGTCACACCACTGCCTGGCAGGACACCCCAGGAACCCAGGACTAGGAATCCCCAGAGCTTAACCTCCTGGAGGCTGCCTGAGGGGTTTGGCATTGGGGTCTTGCACTCAGGAGGGGTTAGCGAGAGTAGAACTGGAGTCCACTTGTTAGCTAGCTAATTAATTCTTGAGACCGTCATGGAGATGTCAAAATGAATAAGATGAGATTCGTGTTCTCCATGTGAGAAGAAAGTAGAGAGACATACATACAAGTAGTTGTACTATAGGACTAAGATGCCCAGTGGCTAGGGAGGCTCAGGCAGGAGGATCACAAGTTCAAAGCCAGCCTCAGCAACTCATTGAGACCCTAAGCAACTTAGTGAGACCCTGTCTCAAAATAGAACATAAAAAGAGCTGGGGATGGGCTGGAGTTGTGGCTCAGTAGGAGAGCACTCACCTATCACGTGCGGGGTGCTGGGTTTGATCCTCAGCACCACATAAAAATAAATAAATAAAATAAAGATATTGTGTCCAACTACAACTAAAAAAAATATTTAAAAAAAAGGGCTGGGGATGTGGCTCAGTGGTTAAGTGCCCCTGGGTTCAATCTCTAGTACCCTACCCTACCAAAAAAGAAGAATGAATTGAGGAAACAAAGTCCTGTGGGAAAAGGAATTCTTTTCCTCTTCATTATTCTTTTCTTATATAGGTCATTTTTTTAATAGAGAGAAACTTATAAAAATAATGAAAAGGAAAAATTTAAGTTTACTCCAAATCATACCAGATATAGAAAACCATCATTAACATTGACATTTATGGTATAACTTTTCAGATTTACTTCTTAATGAAAATATGTGCATGTGTTCAAAGCATATGTAAACCCTTTCTGTGTATAGATATATTTTTTCTGTAACAGAATTCTGCTATATATTGGATTTTATTTTTTGACACCTAACAATACACCATAAGCATTTTTTCAACTGACACAAATATTAGCATCAAGATATGTAATATCTGCATTGWATCTGTTATTTAACCTAAAATAATTTAGCCAAGCAAGGATGAGAGATGGGAAGGTGGTGTCCTCACTTGACATGAGGGGATTCCACCGGCAACCCTCTGCAGTTTGCAGAGCCAGTGCTGTGTGGATCCTGCTTGGGAAATCTATAGGGCAGATGCTGGCTGGCTGGCAGCCGATGGCTGATCTGGGATTAGCTTCCACTGGGGGGTTGTCAGAGCCCAGAATGCATTTCCATGATTCTCACCTCAGAGGAACAAGTTGCKTGGTGATTACATCAACATAAAGGTTTCAGCTGTGTTACATAATGGGAGCTCAGACTTTCCTTGAATGCTAATGAGGACCCACTGGGAGGCTGAGGAGGAGAAGGATGCTGGCAGAGTCCTGATACAGGAGATGAATCTAATTTTGTGTAAGACAACTGAGGGAAGAGAGGAAAGAGATCAGGAGATCAGTGAACAGGCTCTAGTCAAAGTCTGAAGAGAAAGTTTCCCTGCTTTCACAGCAGCTCAAGGATCTGGGTTCAGGTTCAGTCTTACCACTGATGAACTTGAATCAGCCACTTCACTTTCCTGAGCTTTTAATGGCCCATCATTAACATGGGCATAAAAAGACCCAAGGGGGGATGAAAACACTTATGGATCTTGATAGAGATGAAGTTGTATCTATAACATCGTGATTGTTTTAAATGCCACTGAATTTCATACTTTAGAATGGTTAATCCTATGGTGTGAATTTCACTTCAATTAAAAAACAAAACCACTCCAAGAGTGTCATGATGATTAAGGGACAACCCTGGTGGGCTGGTTCCCATTGCAACTCTCACATGGGCATATTTGAAACTAGCCTTATTCCCTTCCTTGCACTGGCCCCTCTAGGCCTGGATCGCTCCACAGACTTAGAGCCAACAACTTATTTGGACCCCCTGAATGTTTTCCACACTTGTAGTTGTATCAGTTATTAAAATCTCGGTCACTGTGTGGTTCATAATGTCAATGTCCTTTCTCCTGACACTCCTGCTGCTCTTCCGCGGAGTAGGCCTGTGCTTGGCCATAAGGGGTGCTTACAAGCAGGGTGTGAGACAAATGTTGTTGACGGCTGTGAGAAGCTGTGTTTCCTGGGGCTTCTCCTGCCTGTGTCATCACCATTTGGCCCCTGGCCATGGCCTCATCCTGGTGCTGATGCAGGGAGGGAAGGCCATGTGTCCCCATCTGTTTCTATCAGGGGCCCACTAAAGAGGCAATTTCCATGCAGGTCCTGTACAAGGTCCTCAGGCAGCAGTCAGCCTGGACCCCCCAATATGGAGGACCCCAGAGGGGCAGCCACATCTGTGTTAGGATTGGGGAGTGGAGGGAGTGAATGGGCTCTCGTCCCTCCTTTCAGAGCTGCTCTTGGTGCTAGCTCAACCAAGTGACCACACAGGAAGCCTGAAGTCTCTCACCTCCTGTCCCCACCACTCAGCTAATGTCTGTGCTTCCTTTTGTAGGTCCTTTCTCGTGTCCTTCCTGCTCTTAGTTCCCTAGCTGCTTAGAGGGGAAAGTCATTGTGATGAATTCCAATGTGGATTGGAACCTGCTTTCTCACTCACTCACCACTAGTTAAGAGACATATTTAAATTTACTCCCCATCTGGCTTTATGCTTGGTTCTTGATGGATTCCACACCAACATTTTCTTTCCCTGACTCAATGAGGACAGATGACATCTGTGGTTTACCGCTCCTCCCTCATTTGTCCCTGGTTTCTTATGTTCATTACACGATGGACTCTAGGAAAATAGTCATTGAGAAAAATAGATGGTGAAGAGAAGAGAGAGAGCAAAAAGAGATCATCTTCACCCTCAGGCTAGCTCTTGTCAGTGGAGAACACACCCCCAGCCCCTGAGACACTTACTTGCCAGCACTTCAAACATGCTGGCTCTTCTGGAGAGAGCTGTCATGGGAAGTCTGATGTGACAAAGTTGGTGCTCTGCACACAGGAGTGGAAAAGGCTGAGAGATGAGTCTCAAGCCCCCTGGCCTCCTCCCAGCTAAAGCTGTGTCTGCACCAAAATCACACTGCAGGAAATGGTCATGTCCTCTCTACCTGCAGGGACCTCCCCTGACTCTTTTCTGCATGAAGAGCAGGATCCTACCTGTGTCTCCAGGAAGCTTTTCCCACCTCTCTATGGATCTTATATATTGTGCCCAGGGCCCAGGAGATGTCTGATGCAGAAGGGCAGAGTGCTTCCTCTCTGTCCTGCAATAATGTCCCTGTGAGGGTCACGGTGTATGGCATGTAAATAAGCTATAAAGTAAAACATAACATTAAAAATAACACTTATCSGGCTGTGTTTCATTAGTTGCTTTCACCTGTACCTGAGCTATGAGTTCTTCAAAGACAAAGATGCTTTACTAAACATACAAACACACAAAATGTAGTATCAACACCTATCACACAATGCTGGACACAAAGTAGGCACTTGACAGACATGGAAGACAGGGGAGCTGCCTTTACACAGGCACATCCTGAGTGGGAAGGGRACACCTGGCTCTTCAGAGCAGCTTTGCCTGAGTTGAAGCCCCTGCTATAGATTCCTATGGTCTTGCTTGTCTTGGCCTACTCCTAATAACTCTTACTACCCACTCTACAGATCCCTGGAACCTCCCACTCTCAGCCAGCACTTGACCATGATCTCTTTCCTCAGTTTCTCCTGCCACCGGCCACCAGCTTCTCCAGCTGGACCTGTCATGGCTTCCCCAGCACTGACCACTGTATGACTGCCTTGGGTTTTCTTATTAAGTCACGCTGTGGGCCTAACGTTTGACCCAAAACTCAATAAATGGATGGATGGATATTAGATTTACAGAGAACATCAGCTCTGTGAACYGATGGGCCTGGGATAGGGGAAAGAACACAGGCAGACCTGCTTCTAATGCTGGCTCAGCCACTAACTAGCTGTATGACCATGACTAGTTACTGACCTTTGAATCTCAGTTCTCTCATCAGCTAAAACAACAACCATGGGTTACCGTGAAGAGTCAATAACATGACCCATATTAAACCTCTTGACCATGTGTCTGACACATGGCACATTCTCGAAAATTGCTTCTTTCCTTCCTTTCCTCTTTTCTGCAAAGATCTCTGCTGAATCTAARTTTCCAACAGCCTTTGAAACCCATGCTCCCTTATTAAATTATAACTTAGGAAGGTCACTGCGCTGTAAGAAAGTTTATCTTTTGAAGATGAATAAGGATCCCAGATGACAGGGACAACCATTGTGCCCCACATTACCCTGGAAAAGATTTCTCATTCCCAGTTCAAATTCCAACAGATAAGGAAAGRGCATCAAAGACCATCAAAGTTTACAAATCACACTTGACAAAATGGAAACAATCGACAGGGAAGTCCTGAGTGAGTGAAAACCTAGGGAGGCCTGGGAATGACCCTGGGGCTCTGAGGGACAATGGCCTTAGAATAGAGTAGTCTGCAAACAACTGGGAGCAAATGGCCCAGCCAGGCTCTACCTGGGCTCTCTGATGCAGACTCCCTCAAGAACAGAAGGGAGGCATGGAGGGCAGCATGTGCCCTGGCCTTCTTCAGAGAGGTGAAATGWATTGATTTTGGAGATGCCAAACTGAGCAAAAAGAGCAGGGGAAGCAGTAGCGTCACCTTGCCATTAACAGAGCTGTGGTTCTAAGTGAGGTCTCAGGACCAGCAGCAGCAGCAGCAGCAAATCTGGGTTGCTAGAAATGCAGATTAGCAGATACCACCTTAATTAATAAGACTTTATGAATAAGAAACTCTGGGACTGCTGAGCAAACTGTATTTTAATAAGTCTACTGGGAGTTTTGATGCATCCTAAAAACTGAAATCCACTGAGGTGGTGGATACTTTTGTACATTGTTCTGAAACTCCTTCCCCATTATGACATGGTGGGAGGTGGCATGACACTGGAATGGACACAAACTTTATAGACAAGAT